ATTGCCACAAGATCAAGGCCAACCTAGGCTGCATAGTGAGTTCAAGGCCAGACTGAACTACGTAGTAAGATACACACAAAAAACAAAGTTCAGGAATCTAGCTTTTGTGTAAGAAGGGAAAAGTGTATCTATATTTGCTTATGTTTGTGTTTAGAAACACCGGAAGGATGTGCAGGAAACGAATGGTTGTGGGAGCAGTGGTGGAGGGGAGGGGCCTGGCGGGCCTAGCCACTGCCGGCCAGGGTCGGGGAGAAACTCCGCTCTTCCTCTTTGGGAGCCTTGTGAGTGTGTTACCTGTTAAGTGTCTGTCAGAGTAGCCAGCAAAAGCATCAGAAATATGTGTCCCTGGCTCTTGTGATACTGAATGTAAAATCCAAAAAAATGTTCGTGAAGTGTTTGTAATTTTAAAAATAGTTATCATGATAAGCCGGGTCTGTAGCAAATGTGTTAACAAAGATTAGGAAGTGGGAGATCATAAGAGCGGGGAGAGGGGGAGGTGGGGCTCCTTTTCCATGTACCTAAATTCAGTAACTAGAGTTAAAACAGGATTTCTGTCTCTGTCACCACCGAAGACAGCAAAAGGAAAGAGTATAGAAACACAAGAAACGAACGGAAAGTGATGGTAGGGTCAGATAGTAGTTATGACAGCATGTGAGTGGATATGTGTGGATGTCCCCGAAGGGAAAATTAGATGGAGCTGTAATTTTTTTTTTTTTTTTTTTTTTTCAAAAAGAAAGCTAGGTGAAAGACATATTAATAGGTCAGGCATGGTGGCACACGCCTGTAATCCCAGCACTCAAGAGGCTGAGGCAGGAGGATCGTTGCGAGTTCGAGGCCAGCCTAGGCTTCAAAGTGAGCTCAAGGCCAGCCTGAACTGCATAGCAAGACCCTGTCTCAAAAAGACAAAAAAAAAAAAAAAAAAAAAAAAAAAAAAAAAAAGACATATTATTAGGCTTTATGTGTAGTTGGCCACCATTTATTTAAGTACATTGAAGTCGGGTATATTTTCATTTCATACTTGTAGGCTACAAAGAAACATTAGTGCGCTGTATTTGAAAACAGAAATTTTAGCCCAGCATTGTGGCACACGCCTGTAATCTCAGCACTTGGGAGGCTGAAGCAGGCGGATCATTGTGAGTTTGAGGCCAGCCTGGGCTAAAAAGTGAGCTCAAGGCCAGCCTGAACTGCATAGTGAGACCCTGTCTCAAGAAAGAAAGAAAGAAAACAAATGAAGGAACGAAACAAAAAAAAAGAAAGAGAAGGAGGGAGGAGAAAGAGGGAAGGAAAAGAAGAAAAGAGAAGAGAATAAAAAAAAAAGAAAAGAGACATTTTAAGTGTCAGCCATGTGTAGTGGTGCACACTTGGAACCCCAGCTACGCAGGAGGTTGAGGCAGGAGGACTGCAAGTTGGAGGCCGGCCTAGGCAAGTTGGTGAGACCCTGTCTCAAAATAAAGTAGAATGGGCTGGGGATGCAACTTAGTGGTAGAGTCCTTGTCTGGTATGAGCAGGGCCTTGGGTTCAGTCCGAGGTAGGTGTGAGGGGATCTTTCTGTAATCATAATGCAATGAAAGAGGTTATAGAGGTTTGATTTGATGCTTGCTTTTGCTAGCTGGCAGTGAACCTCACCCCCATCCTAAGTAACTAGCAGGTCAGTAGCGAAGTAAAAGCACTCATACAAAGTACTAAGAAAATAATGAAAGATCTGAAAACTATTGAAATCCATAGACGTTACCAAGGTTCTTTGTGGAGTAAATTTGTTCAGGACCTTCGATCTGAAGCGCATCTGTGCTCAAGGGTTTAGTGGTGTGCTCAGGAGGGCGTGGGGAGGAAGGAGCCCCAGGAGAGAAGTCGAGCCTCGGACAGATCCCAGGGCAGTCATCAAGGCTGGAAATCAAAAAGATAACCAGTACTTCAGTGGAGGGAAAACACAAATAAATTAGAAAGGGTAGCAGCGATACGTATTTTCAGTATTTGCAACCAGAAGTATCCAAACTAGCATAAGTAGAAAAGGCAGTCTGTGGGCCGGAGGAATGAAATTCTCCTGGTAAATGATGTGGCGAGGACCTGGTGGAAGGAAAAGCTGAAGTTGTGAGAAATAGCAGAATGCTATAAATGCATATTTATATTGAGCGGGAAAAGACCCTGAGAGCCGTAACCTCCAACCGTCATTGCTTCTAAGCCAGGGGGACTTTGAATGAATTTTAATTTTAATTTGGACTACATTGAAACAGTGTAGTTTTTCTACATTGTCAGACATCAGAATCAACACTGAAGACGTTTTTAACAGCATTTTTACAAATGAATCATTATTGAAGTGGTTGGAAATAATACTTTGGATTTTAAGTTTCAGGAAAACACATACTCATTCTTAGTTGTAATTACGAGAAAAGATAAACCCTGTTCTAGTCTGTGCGGTGATAAGACAGTCAGTTTAAACTCTGGAAGGATGTATTATATTCTTCCTCCCTTGAGATTTTATGCTTAACTCTGGTGTTTTAGGTGTGTAATAGTTAATATTTAAAAATAATAAATAACACTTTTTCCTTATTATATGTTAATTGGTCATCTAGGAAATGTGGACAATAGAAGGAACATTTAAAGAGAAAGTGAAAGCTTCTTATTAAAAATCCCTAAACCAGGAGCTGGGGATTTAGCTCAGAGGCACAGTGCTTGCCTGGCAAGCATGAGGTTGTGAGTTTGATTCCCGGTACCAAAAAAAAACTGAAAAAAACAAAAAAATAAAAATCCCTAAACCATTAACAGTGGCTAGCAACTTCCTTCTGTATGTACACTTCTTTTAGAAAATTGGGGTGCTGTTCCTTTAGCATTTGGATACAATATTAAAATGTGAGCATTTCCTATACTATTAAACATTGGGAAATATTTTTGGCTGCATTGCATTCAGTCAGCTCAGCAGTTTATTCAATATTTGTTTTGGGCATTTAAGAAAAATTTTTTTAAATCAGGTTCTTTTGCTACATACATTTAAATCAGGTCATTATACATAATGATTGAAGAGAATTTGTACCTATACGTGATATAACTTGGTTTTTCCCTTCCATTCTCCTACCCTCCCTTCAACCTCTCCTTCCCTCCCCATTTACAAATGTTTTATTTCCATGTTCTCCTTCTTTTCTCATATGTTTTGGACGTTTTAGTTGTACATTTTGTTACTAGGAGTGTCAGTTGGATAACTAGCCTTGTAACCCAATCCGTCACTTTTCCACCTACCCTAGGGTGGGTGAGTTAGATAGGATCAGTCCGTGGAGTAAACGTTTCTTATCCAGTTACTGCTTGTGAATGTCTGTCTACTTGTACTGCGTGAGGAGTGTACAGAGGTGTCCCTTACCACTGTACTCTGTAAGCACCGTTTTTGAACATAAAACGGCTGATCCAAAATATGGGGCTTGCTTAAAATCATTACAGTAAAAGACACATTGCCATTAATCCCTTACTTGAAACACACCCCATCGTCCTTCCCACTGTCTGGAGCAGTTCTAGAAGTGTTCTTTTGTGAGTGTCTTCACCAAGTGTGATCAAAAAGACGGGGAGTGCTGCTGCCAACCGCCAGCCAGCAGAAAGGAAGGCTCAGGTGAGCGCTGCAGCGTGTCCTCCTCCGCCCCAGTCGCTGGATCTGTCAGCATGCAGCTTTTGGCTCCTCCTCAAAGTCAAAGTGGCCGTGGAAAGTAGTTTTGAATTAGTTCAAACAATACAGCTAAATCTCTCAGTGCAGCCACAGCAGTACAACCAAGTACTCTCACAAAGGGGGATCTATTAGAATTGCTTCAGGAAGGGCAGGTCCTGTGGGATAAGTCTGTTTGCAGGTAGCAGGAATGTTTTCAGGGGGGTTAACAGCAGTGTGTCTTCTGTTGTAATAAAGCTTGTTTAATGTAATTGTTCAGCATCTTTTTCAGTCAAACCTTGTATTTCTTTAACTACTTCCCAGGCCCCAAAGATGGGAGGTAAGGGAGGGTTCAGGTTGCTGTCTCACTTAGAAGGGAGGAGGACGACCGCCAAGATGGTCCCTGGGACTTTCACCTGCCAAGATGGCTTGGCCCGAGTGCAGAAGGTGGATACTGAGGGTAGTGGAGAAAAAGGGGAGGTTATGAAGGGCTCCTGAACCCTGGCCTGTAGTCCCAAAGTGCTGGTGCTGGTGTGGATCATTTCCCAGGTGATTCCCTCCTCTTCCTCCTCCTCTTCCTCCTCCTCCTTCTCCTCCTCCTCCTCCACCACCGCCATGAGCAGGGGCTGCTGCCAAGTGTCAAGTTAGAGGCCTAGAGAAATTCTCACAAATAAAAGGGCTCCTGTGAGTCACCAGGAGGTCACTTGTAATTCCAATGAGGCTTTCCTTCATGGAGCAGTTCAGTTGTGATTCATCGGATCATTTTAACAAGCCTTCACTGAGAGCTTCTCTATACTTAGCCCAGTGCTGGAAGATGGGAAGACAAAAGAAGCAGTTCCCTTCCCTGGAGGACTTTATAATCTAGTTGTAAAGAATAAAAAATATGCACATGAAAAATACAACCAAGGATGCAAAGTAGCCTGCAATTAAGCGCCTTAATGAAGGCCAACCAGGGTTGATTAGTGGTTTGCAGTAATGAAGATTTTCTCATAAAAATGGGCAAGGGCCGAGATGATGAGAATGAGATCGGTGGGAGATAGTGTTGGCTTTGAAAAAACCTCACCTGGGGGAATGAGGGCTTTTACGGGCTGCCACTTTGTTAGCATCTCAGGCTCCAGGTTTCTGCCACCTGCTCCGCTGATGCATATCTCAGAGGTACCTGGCCCCGCTCCTCTCTGTAATGCGGAGGGGTATAATTACCTGGTGTCAGGAGCTCGGGCAGGCGGCTTGAGAGATTAACTCTTTGCTGACATTTTTAAGCATACGCTTAATTTTAAGCCAGGAAGTGGCTAGGTAAACTTAAGGATTTGGTAATGCTGTAATGTCAGTGGTACCGTATCTGTGAATGCTTTAAAAAATATTTTTCTGTGGATTTCAGATCCAAGGAAACAACTACTCTCATAAAGTGGACATCTTTTCCTTGGGCCTGATTCTGTTTGAATTGCTGTACCCATTCAGCACTCAGATGGAGAGAGTCCGGGTAAGTAACCCTTCCTCAGAAAACATCGAGATAACCCAGAGTATACAAAAGAAAGTTTGTAAGAATTCAGTGTTCTAATGCCAGCAGACTAGTTAACTAGAAGCCAGAGAGGCCCAACACGGGAAGGGTTTTTAGACTGTTTACTTTCCAGTCTTCAAAAACTTTGGTTTTATTGACTTGTTTGTTCCTTGTCTTGGTTTAAATTCATGATAATTTAACAGTATCTTGCACAGAGAACATTTACGCTAAGAGCAAAGCAGGAAGAACTGTGAAGTTACAGGAGGAGGGGGTGGAGGGGGTAGTTGACCAGAAAAGATTTTTCCACAGGACAAGTAGCTGCACTAGGACACACACTACTTAAGGTGTTTTCAGAGCAAACGTCTGTCTCATTGTTCCTAGGTGGGTACCCTCAACTCTGCTAGTTGTCGTCCCTGGTCCCTACTTTCATATTTTCAGAGTTCGTGCTCTTAAAGCCATTTCTTAGTTGATCAGCTTTGATCTCCTCTGTTGTCTCCCTGCGTTGGTAGACCAGAATGTGGTTCTCATATTGAACCCAAAAAATCATATGACAAATGGAGAGAAAGAAAAGGAAACGAAAAATAACTAAATTTTATAACTGCAGGAAAAAAAAGCCATAAAAACTTCCAAAAAGGAAACTAAAACAGGCCCAACCTAAGCAAAGAATTAGGAATCAGATGTCACCAATCAGAACTGTAAGCTCATCGAAGAACACTGTCAGGAGTGTGGAAGGCAGGGTAGGGGCCTGCGGGGACATAGCTCAGGAGCGGAGTGGGAGTGTCCCGAGCAGGCACGCGGCTTGTGTGCATAGATCCATCTGTCAACATAAATTTAAAGCACTACTTTTCATTCCTTTTAGACCTTGACTGATGTAAGGAATCTCAAGTTTCCACTACTGTTTACGCAGAAATATCCTCGTGAGGTGCGTATGATTCTCATCCCTGATTTTCTCTAAAGTAGTACTTAGTACCCAAAGGTCTAGAGAGGGGAGGGGCCTGCTCCAACCACCAGAGTTTAAGTAAAGCCATGGGCAGGAGCTCCGGCTGCCTTCCAGCCTGGTGTCCTACCAAGGCCCTGCTGCAGGACACCTCCCCACCAGCTGAGTGACGCTTGCCTTAAATAGAGCTGGACCCTTAGAACACCTTCAATGCTAGAATCACGGTGCTGATCATGCTATTGACCTCTCTTATAGTGGTATGCAAGAGCTCAAAAAACTGGCTTATCCTTTTTAAAGAGGCACTGATTTCTACTGCTTATGGGGACTGGACTTACACTCCGCAGCAATAAGGGTCAGAAGATTGAGAAGGGAAAAAAGTAAAGCTGGTCTTGATGGTAAAACTTAAATGTGATGAACTTCCTTTTTTTTTTTTTGGTACCAGGAATCAAACTCAGGACCTTGCACTTGCCAGGCAGGTGCTTATGCCACTGAGCTACATCCCTGGCAAATGTAATGAACTTCTAAAGTTGTCTTTATACCTTTGGTTTATTTTTATTTCACAATATGTATTCCATGAGCATATCACTTCAAAATTTATACACTGATAAATTTTGAATTTTCTTAAGTAAATAAACTGAAGTCATTGGGTAGTATATGTTAATGATCAAATTGCAAAAAAGTCAAAATTTGTCTTTCAGTTTGATAAGTAAAGACTTGCATTAAAAATTGAACTTTATCATATACTTACATATGGTCACTTGAAATTAAAATTCTAATAAAAATTGTTACCGTATATTTTGTATACTTGATGAATCTGCTCCCAAGGTAGGTTGTTATAAGAGGATAAAACACATTTTTTAACTTGCTTTTTTTGTCTTTTTGAGACAGGGAGGGTCTCACTATGCAGTTCAGGCTGGCCTTGAGCTCACTTTGTAGCCCAGACTGGCCTGGAATTCTCAAGGATCCTTCTGCCTCAGCCTTCTGAGTGCTGGGATTACAGGCATGCGCCACCATGCCTGGCAAAATATTTTTAAAACAAGAGAGTATTAAATGATGATCTTGGGGCTGGGGATATAGCTCAGCGGCATAGGTCGTGAGTTCAATCCCCGGTACCGCCAAAAAAAAAAAATTAAAAATAAATAAATAAATGCTGATCTCTGGCATGTTATTTTTCAATTGAAAGTTTTATTGAAATAACTGTAGATTCACACAGAAATAAAAATCTACAGAAATAACTATAGATTCACACTTAGTTATAAGATGAATTTATTTTTTAAAAAATCAGCTGTGTGTGCTTCGAGGAAAACCTTTTATTACATTTTAGAAAAACCACCAGTCAGCCCCCAGATGATCTGCATTTGAAGCAGCGGTTGGCAGATTAGGACCAGCACCTCAGATCCAGCTTGCTGCCTGTTTTTATGATACAATTTTGTTGGAACACAGCCATGCCCTCCATTTACCTGCTGTCTGGCTGTTTTAAGCTTCAGTGGCAAAGCTGACTGTTCCTATCAGAAACTGTATGGCTTATAAACTTAAAACAGTTACAGAAAAATTTTTTCAACCCTTGTGAAAAGGACTGTTCAGCTTGGCGTGGTGGCACACACCTGTAATCCCAGCACTTGGGAGGCTGAGGCAGGAGGATCATTGCAAGCTTGAGGCCAGCCTGGGCTACAAAGTGAGCTCAAGGCCAGCCTGAACTGCACAGCGAGACCCTGTCTCAAAAAGACAAAAAAATAAAAAATAAAAGACTGTTCAGTGATCTAAAACTGACGCTTTATCGCAAATCAATTCTTATATTTCAGTACGAGATGGTTCAAGACATGCTCTCTCCCTCTCCCACGGACCGGCCTGAAGCCACAAACATCATTGAAAACGCTCTGTTTGAGGACTTGGAGTTGCCTGGGAAAACGGTGCTCCGACAGCGGTCTCGCTCCCTGAGCTCATCGGGAACAAAACCTGCGAGGCTGCCCAGCGGCTCCCGCATCCCTGTGCCCAGCAGTTAGCCCTGCGCCCTGTGCCCGGCAGTTCCCGCATCCCTGCGCTCGGCAGTCAGCCCGCAGCGGCCTCTTCCGAGGAGCCCGCCGCTTTCCAGAGTGGCCGACGTGAACACTTTGTTCTCTGCTCAGCCTTGTTTTGGGCTGCGTTTTCCAAGTCAAACTGAAACTGGATTTGGAGCCTAACCTGTGTAGAGCCAGTTCGCTCTTCTCCCAGGACAGGGCTCGGGGCTAGGGGGTTCTGTGTTCTCCTGGGCCGGCTCGCCCAGCTTCCTAGCACCTTTTGCCTCAGAGGTAGAAGCATTCCCTAAAACATAGACAGCTTTAAAGTGGAAATATTTTTATAATACAGAAGGATAAACCCTCCCCGCATTGTGGAAGCTCTGTTGTTCTAGAAATACGCTTTCTAGAAAGATAGATTTTGAAACTGATTTCTAAAGAAGCTGACTTCTTTTTTGTCCCTGGTGGGTAAAGGAAGAATCTGCACTATTTTGGAGGACAAGTAGCACAAACTGTAGGGCAGTTTATGTCTGTAGTTTTATAGTCCTATTTGTAGCGTTAAATAGTTTTATTCCTTAGATGATTCTAGGGAGGGTTTGAGAAGTTTTTGTACTTTTACCTCCAGTGAACCCAGTGAGGGAGAAATGAAGCTTCAGATGTAAATTGGTTTAAATTCTTGCTGGGAAGGACGAGGCTGTAGGTAAGAAGGGATACTGTCTTACAACTAACTTCTGCAGTGATGGGCTTTTTAACCTCATAAAATCATTAGTGTCTTCTATATAATCCTACAGGCGGGTACATCCCAAACTGATTCTAGATAACAGTGTAATCATTTCACGTCCTGATGGGTTTTTATTTTCCTCTGTAAATATTTTTATTTTTTATTTATAAAAATTCTGGAATCAATCCATTTGGGTTGGTGGTGTACAGAACACACTTAAGTGTGTTAACTTGTGACTTCTTTCAAGTCTAAATGGTTTAATAAAAACTTTTAAAAAATCACTTCTGGATGACTCTTACTTATGTTGGAGAGTTGGTCCAGAAATGGTAATTATTCTAATTTACCAACTGGAATCAGTAGGTTTGTGAAGGGTCAAACCCAACCATCAAGAAAACTTCCATGCGGGGCGAGATGGCACATGTATAATTCCAGCACCGGGGAGGCTGAGGCAGGAGGATCACCACAAGTTCAAGGGCAGCCTGGACTACACAGCTGAACAACAATCTGAACTAGATACTGAGACCCTGTCTCAAAAAACAGGATAGATCTCAGCAGCACAGCACCTGCCTGGCAAGAGAAAGGTCCTGAGTTTGATTCCTGGTACAAAAAAAACTTCCAGGCTTGGTGGCACACACCTGTAATCCCAGCACTCAGGAGGCAGAGGCACGAGAATCACTGCTAGTTCAAGACCAGCCTGGGCTACGTAGTGAATTAATGGCCCATCTTAATTAAAAAAAAAAAAAAAAAATTTCCCTAACCTGTTCCAGCCAAGTGTTGTTCCCTTGATTTGCTCAGTGCCGGCTCTGCCCAGGACAGGGACTATGAACAGGACCCTGCCCTAAGGGGAGACCTCGCAGAGAAAGGGCCGCGGCAGTGCTCCCCGTGTTGATCTCACGGCGCATCCCCTGTGTGCCCCGTGGTACCTGTACAACCTGGGCTGACTGGGCACAAACCAGCTGCACACCAGCTCTGAGTGTCAAAATGTGCGAGCGGGACCGTCCCACACACGAGCAGCGTCTGTCGCACAAAGTCAGCAGCGGTCTGTGCTGGGAAGACCCTTCCCAAGACCGTGGATCCGCCCAGACTCGGCTGCAGCCTGCTGCTCGGACGCCCACTGGGTTCTGCTCGGGCTCCAGCCAGCCCAGCCCCGGCCTCTGCACCTGCGGGCCCGCGGCTCCAGTCGCTGCTCCCCGTTCTCTTCACTTCTAGCCAGGGCCCTGTTGATTGCTTCCTTGCACGGCCTGCTCATTCCCGATGATCCTTGAGCCCCGCAGCAGCCCGAGAGCTGCTATGGCGGGGTTGTTACCCCCACTCCACCAGGGCCACCCTCAGGCCCCGGAGGCTGCTGTGCTTTGCCCAAGATCCCAAAGCCAAAAGGAGCGGACCCGAGCCCAAGCCCAGGTCCTCTGGTCCCAGGCAGCGTCTTGTCTACTCTCACACCGCTGTGGGAGGTTTCCTGAGCGCTCACACGTTGTAATGAAGCCTCTGCCACTTTCCTCCTGGGTGCACCTTTGCTGTTGCCTTCAGGAAAGCAGAGCCGAGGATGGACGCTCGGGGCTGGGCTGGTTCAGCTCGCCCACAACGGGTGCCGGAGCGGAGCCTCCCGAGTCCTCGCTCCGCGCCTTCCCTGCTGACCCAGTCCCCGCCGTCCTGTTCGAGGGCTGTTGCTTTCCTGGCCTGCACCCAGCCACCAACACCTGTTCTGGCCTCTGCTTTGGCGCTTTGTGTCAGCAACGCTTCCCAGAGGGCTGCGGACAGATGAGCCAGGAGCTCCGTACAGGTCAGCACCCTGGACCAGTGCCAAGGTCCAGGGGGCGGGGCACACCTTCTTCTTGTGACCCGGCCAGACCCAGCATAAAGGCCGGTCCCGGATTGCGTACGTGCAGAGCTGAATTTGAGGGCATAGGTACAGTGTAACCCCAACACAGCTGCAGTGCTCAGAAACGAATAGCCTCATGGGGAGAAGGAAAGGAATACACCACATGCTGCAACAGATATCGGACAAAGTAAAAAAGTTAAGATGGCTTCAGGATCTGGATACTCAATTCAGTGAGGCCTGGTCTCAGTGTAAAAAGTAAAAAAGCGTGAAGATGTAGCTCAGTGTGAAGGCCTAGGTTCAAGCTCCAGTCCTGCCATAATGAATGGGAATGAATGAACGGGGATGAATGAATGGGAATGAATGAACCAATGAATCCTGATGCTGGGGGGGGGGGGACAAGAAACAGCACGGCTCAGTATAGGCAACCGGCACCCACCTGCTCCACAAAACAGAACCAAAGCAACAGGTGTAGAGCTGCGTGTTTTGGCAAGAGATGGAGAACAAGGGGATTCAGCAGTAGAAAAAAGGGAAACTTCAGAGCACCCACAGGCCTAGAACAGCTGCACAGCAAGCCAAATCACTGCCCCTGCCACCTGGTGAAGCAAGAGGAGGGGCGTCTCCCCCCAGCACACACACCTAAGGGTGAAGGGGTCTCAGCAAACTATCAGTGCAGACACCGGCAATCCCAGCACTGGAAAGTGCTACAACACTTACAGGCTTGCAGCCTAAGTAGCTAAGATACCTGAGGCTGCGGAGAAGGAATCCGTTGCATCTCTCCAAAACCATCCTGGGTGCTGGAGTCTGAACCATCTTGAGAAGGGACCTATTTTCTGAATTTAGGTGCTCGGGGAGGGGGAGCTAGGAATCCTCGCATGTTCCTGCCTCTGGGCTCCCACCGGCATCGCACCGCCTGGCTTAGGGCGTCGGCCCCGGAAGCCGGGCTCCGCTAGGTGGCGCACGGAGGCGGCGCGCTGTAGGGAGCAGGTGTTGCCGCACAGGGGGAGGGCGCCTCGACAGAGCAGGGCGTGGCCAGTCACACGTGGCTCGGAGCAGGTGCCAGGGCTGAGGGCATATGCTATGCGGTCCTCACCACCTGGGTCCCGGCACTGCCTGTGGGCACCTGTTGTAACATGGTGGGTAAGAACTCTGGATCCATGGCTCCGCTGCTCCTGGGCACACAGCCTGGCAGAGGGAATTTGGGGCGCGGCGGACACCTCCATTCCAAGTCCCTCTGGCACGCATCTCAAATGAGAGGAATTTTGCCTGGCTCCAACCACAACACACTCCCCAGCCTCTAGGGGGCACTACACCCAACAAGCACTGCTGGGGGCAGAGCCTGAGGTCCTGCTTCTGGGAGGACAGGTACAGCAGCAGCAGAGGGGAAGGATCTGCCGCCACCGTGCTGACACAAGTCCCCACTGCCAGTCACTGATCAGGCACTGCCGACAGACAGCGCGGGCGCCTCAGAAGGGGAGCTGTCTCTGGCCCCACTCACCGTGTGGGACACTAGGACCCACACCAGTGTCTGCCCAGGGGACAGGGGCTCAGGCCCCTCATCCGGTACTGGAGCAGCCAGGACACAGGCCCTGTCACGCGACAGCCAGTGTCCACGAACCTGAGGGGGCCTCATCGCTGATGAGGGAGACCAGGGGCAGAGCCACTGGGCCTCTTCCTGGTTTGCCCGCCCTCGGGGGCAGCACCAGTCCCAAACCGAGTGCCAGTCCAAGGATCAGCTCCCTACTCTAGCCTTTGCCTCCTGGGAGCAGACAGAGAAGCAGACATTTCCTGCTAACCAATAACTTGGTGGGAAAATATATGTAACAAAAGCCGTTGTGTGTGCTACGATGAAAAAATATGGTGAATATTTAAATGTTTAAAATTTAGTACAAAGGGGACTGAGGATTTAGCTCAGTGGCACAGCGCCTGCCTGGCAAGCGCAAGGTCGTGAGTTCGATTCCTGGTACCGGAAAAAAAAAAAAAAAAACAACAACAACAACAACAAAATTTAGTACAAAAAGACTTATTGCCACAAATTCCCCTCAAAATACTCTCCCTCTCTTCAAACACACTTATCCCATCGTCATTCCCACTTCCTGCGGCAGTGCTGGAGGTGTTCCTTCGTGCTTTCAGCAGTGCTGTTGAGGCTGCCTCCACGTCCTGAATCGGTTCGTGGGCACCTTGACTTTCAGGAGAAGCCGAAGTGGCAGCATGCCAGATCCTGTGAATCCGGGGGATGAGGACGAGCGGAGACGTTTTTACAGGCCTGCCTTTCCACTGGATGGCACTCGGTGGCAGCATTCACCGTATTTTTTAAAAATCACACTTAATAAAGACACTCACAAAAGAAGAGTTCTAGAACTCTTCCATTTCACAAAGAGGCAGGAATGGTGAGATAAGCGTGTTTGAGGCAAGAGGAAGTATTTTGAGGGGATTAATGACAATGTGATAATTTTTTTTTTGGTACCAGGAATCCAACTCAGGACCTCGACCTTGCGCTTGCCAAGCAGGTGCTTATGCCACTGAGCTATATCCCTGGCCCATGTGATAATTTTTTAAAAACAAATTGTATTTTTTTAAATCATCCTTTGGATTTCTGTGCCATTTTTCTCTGAGGCAGTGGGCAGAATGTGCTTCAGTCCCACCACTGGCCACAGTCAGTGAGTCTTATTCTTGGTTCAGCTCCAAGCAGGGACTCTAGGTGTCCTCTGTCCCATCCCTGGAAACACTTGCTATGTCCAGGGCTCTATAGGTTTTCTTTTTATTTTATTTTAAAAAAAATAATACCAAAAAAAAAAAAAAAAAAAAAAAAAAAAAAAAAAAGAACAAGCCAGGCGTGATGGCACAGGCTTGTAATCCCAGCACTTGGGAGGCTGAGGCAGGAGGATCGTTGCAATTTCGAGACCAGCCTGGGCTACAAAGTGAGCTCAAGGCCAGCCTGAATTGCATAATGAGACCCGGTCTCAAAAAGACAAAAAAAAAAAAAAAAAGCAAAATACAAACAACTCAAAGCAAGGACATTAAAAATGATACAGAGTTTCAAACCAAATGATAGAGATTAACAGTGGTTATTATATTACATACTGTTGCTCAGATTAACAGAGATAAGAATAGAAGATTAATCAAATCATTAAAAGGAGTAAAAAAATAATTTAAAAGAACATTAGAGACAATACATAGTGTCACTAGTCAGGATTGTAGGAATTCACCAATGGATACTATACTGCAAGCTGTCGTCCATAGATTTTACTAGGGTCTGCTTAGGGAGTCTCGCCTTGGCAATTCCACCCCTGCAACTACAGTATCTGCCACTAGGGGGCGCGATTCCACGTCTCGGAAGGAAGAAAGGGCAGGGAAAGGGAGAAGAGGGGAGGAAGACAAGGGAAGCGAGGGGAGGAGGAAATTCGTTTTAAAAGAAAAAAATAGTAAGAAAAGGCCAGGACACTGGAATTCACCTAGTGTAAG